CCAGGCCCGGGCAGCTTTCCTAGGAACACCGGCGGCTCTCCGAAGCCCTGCTGCTCTGAACTTGGAGCAGGGAGCTGAAAGCTAAAAGCCGCGCTTCCGAGGGTCGTCTCTTAACTCGTCCGAGCTGGTGGACACTGGGCAAATCGCTACGTGAACTGCAAGTTTGACGCTTTGATACTGCAAAACGCCTGGGACGGAAACAGACTGCTAGGCACCACGGGCGGGAGCCTGGGCTGCTGCAGACGCAGGTCACCCAGTCTCAGAAGCTGCAAGCGGAAACCCCCTTGCGCTCCGGTCCCAGCCACGACCTCGCTATCTCGCAAACCTGTGTCTTAATGTGGAAAGAGCCGGGGAGCCAGGGGAGCCATGGACGGGTGCTTTCAAGCCAGTCGGCGGACATGTGTTAAATAGGGGAGGGCTTTGCATCCCAGTAACTTCAAGCTTCCTCTACTACAGATTTTACTTATATGGCTAACTGCCACCCATCACCAGAAACTGAAGATTTTGATAGCAGATCACAAACAGCATTCAAGATCCTAATAGAATAATGTATTTCACTACATAGGACTGACATGTTAGAGAAGCCATAATGCCAGAACACCTCCAATTTCATCCTCACGTTACTCTTAGTAACCTATTGGCAGCCTTTTCTGCCTCCTAGGACTGCTGAGTCCTTATCTATAAAATTATTAGGAAAAAAGTATATACACAACATGAGCCCTGATATTTTAATGGAAATACTGGCTAAGTCATTTAATACATTTCAAATGCAAATTGTTAGGAAAGTACATAATACCAATGTATGTTTTAAATATATGATTTAAAACATAGATAACTTGCTGCTATAAGACAGGCTGAGTTGAGCTTGGAGCTCAGATGTCCGAAGGCAGGAGGGATAAAAATGCTGCTTGTGAAACCCTGGCTGTAGGTGAAGCTCCCTTTTCTTCTGGTTGCACTGGTAGGTTGGGGTTTTCTCAACCAGCTCCAACCCTATCCTGACCTGCAAGTAGGTGCTCTGAATGTAACCCTATGCAGAGACAGCAACAACGGGAGCTGCCCGCTGGTCAGATCCCATCAATTGCCCCCATAATTACAAGTCAACATGCTCTTTCTTGAGCAAGCAGAGGAGGGGACAGGTGAGTTATTGCTGGGAAAACTTGAAGCTCTTTCCCCCAATCAGTATCACTCCACCTCCCAAGTCAGACCAGAGAATCCCCTCCCACAAGGCTTGCCACCCAACACTTTGGGGCTCAGAGTCTCCTGTGGTTATCCTGTCCTTCCACTGCCCACCCCCACCCCCGCAACAACAAAACATCTAAAATTAGAAAAGTCTACCATGTGTTTTGAAACTCCAGAAGCAAAAAATTGTGGTTTTGTGGTGGTGATATTGGGGATTTTTAATTAAAAAGCAAACAAAACCACATAAAACACTGTTGGGTTACTTTACAGCTATGACCAGGGTAATGGTTGCTGGAGAAAAATCCACCAGGGTACTGAGATGGCTCTGCTGGTCTTTGTTCAGTAAGTCCATGCTGACCACATATAAAAATTCTAATCACAGATGTTTAAATGTCTGCCAGTTTAAATTTATGTAATTAAAAAAAATATATATTCCATTTGCAGTTGCTAATGAAGTGTATCAAATCTTCTCCCTCCCAATCCCATTTATATCACACACTTTATACACACTTCTTTCAAATACTGGTTTGGTATTCAAGTTGTTCACCCTCATTTCCAGTAAGGATAAGAAAAAATAGAAGTACAAACCACATAGCTGGACAACTTACCCAAATATAAAATATTTCCAAACAGTTGAAATAAGGTGAGGGAAATACGTACTAAAAGAATGAATAATTCTATTTTTAAAATTTGAGATATTTTGATTTGGGACAAGTACAACTAAGGGGCCAACTATTGAAAGCAAAGTCCTGTTTTGTACCATAGATAAGGAACTGAAGCCCAAATCCCTGCTTCACAATAGTTCTCTGGTGAGGACAAGGGACTTGGGTTGAGAGTTTATTCCTTAAGTAAGAATCAAGCTTTATTTATTTACAAAAAAAGTTAGGGAAAGGGGGAAGACAAGTTTTACACAAAAGTACTACAATGGTAACTCCCTTTGGTAAAAAGTGTAATAAATGTCTTGTACATCTGTTCATAGATACTAAATCTGAAGCCACATAGAACTATGGTACACAAGAAGCTAGAGCAGTTAAGCTAGCACATCAAAGCATATTTCTTTTAATAAAAAAATTGACAGTATGTACATTATTTACAAAAAAAAAATCCAGGTTAAAATTGTGTGTGTGTGTGTGTGTGTGTGAGAGTAAAGCTGGTGGATGGCACTAGGGTAGACTAGTAAAGAAGCAGGTACAAAACAGTTCCACGGGAGCTAAAAAGGACGACTGATTTGAACTTGCTGAGGTTGAGAACCAGAGGAGAGAGGAAAAGGTAGGCAGCAAGGGGCTCATCAGG